TACATTTGTGCAGCTCTTCGTGTCCTTCAGGTTGAATCTAAATCTGTTTCATTATTTAAAATCATAATTATTCTTCTGTGGGTTTGTGTTGGACCTTTCACTTTCATCATATTTAAAGAGAAGTGAACATGTTCAAACCAAACGAGTGTGAGTCAAAGTGTTTTCATGTCTGGGGTTAGTACCTGTGTGCACCACTAGATGTCATCATAATTTAAAAATAAATGATTTACAGTAATGTGATAAACCTGAGACTGCAGGGACCATTACAGAAGTCTTATTAATGATTCACACACAGACAAAGAAGTGACATTTCTGTTTCATTTCCATAAATATTAAACTAGAACAAAGTTACAAACGTTACTCCACAGTCACATGAAAACACAACACCTGTAATCTAGGTCAGTGATGCTCAATACGTCGATCGTGATCTACCAGTCAATGGCCGAGGTTGTGTGGGTAGATCACCGTGTCTCGTCTCGGACTCGATCACGTTTGGACTCGGTCTTGTCTCTCACTCGAGGTCTGACACTGGACAAGTGTGATCATATTACGGCCGCTGCTGTTGGTAATAAAGTTGTACTGGGGTGCGGGAGCGTGTGGAGCGTCTCTCTGTAGCCTGTGCGCTCATTTGGAACACGCGGATACTGTGCGGCACATCACAAACACACACACTCCCTGCGCGCGGCTCCTCCACAACAGCGTTAGTCCTCGTGTTCCAGCGTGTATCACAGGGCAGGTTAAACTTCTTTAAAACATCCTACGTGTCCATCTGCTCACGTCAGCGCACCGCTCCTCACCTTCTCACCCTCTCGCTCTTCCCCGCCTAAAGCGCACACAGGCTCCTCCCACAATATGCAGATTAGAAACACAAGATAAAACGCGAAGCAAAACTGATCTAAATGTATGTTAGTGTTGGCACAGAGGAGCCAACAGCACAGAGCAGATCTACTGCGACATGTGGCTAAAGTTTGCCTAATAAACGTCCACAAATACATCTGGGTTTGGTTTGGTAAATGTGCAGAGGTTAAATCCTGCTGTAAAACTCGTACTAACCATGTAACTCCAGTTAGGAACTTGAAAAAACAGGTTTAAAAATCCTAATCACTGTTTTCACTTTTTTTCAGTTTTCTGTAAAGTGCGATTGAAAGTTCTCTTCAGTCCAGTACAGTTTACTTGACTTTGTAGTCAGTTGATCATTTTGACTTGGACATTTTACAAGTAGCTCACGCGCTGAAAAAGTGTGAGCAGCCCTGATCTAGAGTCACGTGAACTTTAACGAGACACAAACACAAACAGACTGAACAGAGAAAACAGGACAATGACGCACAGATTTAAATCATTTCAGTTTTTCCACAGATTGAATAAAAAAAGTTTATGTGTGGGACTTACCTCCTGCAAAACAACATGTAAATGCAGACAGCACTATCTGGAGAAACAAACCAAACTGCAGCATGTTTGGTGAAGTTTCCTGCTTTTCTTCAGTAAAACACTTCACGCTCTGTAGATGATGTAGCAGAATTTAAACTTAACTTTTAGTCCAGGTGACAAATTGATTTTCTCCTTTGACAAGTTGTAGTAATAAAGTGGTAGACCAGGAATCTTTGGTGAAGAGGAAGAAACACGTCCACTCCTCTTACTCAGTCTACCGGTACAAAAGAATGAAGTCCAAATTATAGCATAACTTTAGATAAAGGTGCAAGGTCCATGGTTAGAAATGCAACACAGTAAATTTTATGGCTTGATATTAATAGCTCTAATCAAAACTGGATAAGTAAACTGATAAGTTCACACTGGGAAGGATTTTATGAAAAAGTGAGCATCAAACCTCCATGTTTGTTTTCCCAGTGGGACGTGTCTGTTGACAAAGTCGATCTTTTCAAGTCTTTTGAACCATATCACTTTTGTTTCTGGTTCTGATATTGTCATATTTTAGTTTTGGGATTCAGACATCGTCATTGTTGTGGTTGTTGGATCCAAACAGCGGAAAACGACTCGAGAAATGTGTTTGTGAACTTTATAAATGCAAAAGTGAATCAGATGTGTGTGACTCAAACCTCTGTTCAAACTGTTTCTCTTCCCAACGGAATTGAAAAATAGTGAAAGGTGAAGGTGATGGGCAGGATTGATCCACAGGAAGAACCAAAAAGGAAACATTTGTCTGACTAAGAAATCATCCTGAGTTTACAGAGAACATTTTGTATGTGGAGCCACGACAAAACAAAATCCTGTTTGTTAATGTAGAGGAGCAGAAGACAAACAGACTGAGCTGCACTTTCTTGTTCTTGTGGTTTTACACAAACATCACGTCTTGGTCTTTGCAGTGGAAGGTGTTTCTTGGTGAACAGTTGGAGACTTTCACTTTGGTGTTGACTTTTTAAATTCATAACCGAGGTTGAACGACGGATCAGGATTTTGTTTTGTCGTCGCTCCACAGACAAAATGTTCTCTGTAAACTCGGGATGATTTCTTAGTCAGACAAATGTTTCCTTTTTTGTTCTTCCTGTGGATCAATCCTGCCCATCACCTTCACCTTTCACTATTTTTCAATTCCGTTGGGAAGAGAAACAGTTTGAACAGAGGTTTGAGTCACACACATCTGATTCACTTTTGCATTTATGAAGTTCACAAACACATTTCTCGACTTGTTTTCCACTGTTTGGATCCAACAATCCACAACAACTACGACGTCCGAATCTCCAAAACTAAAATATGACAATATCAGAACCAGAAACAAAAGTGAAATGGTCCAAAAGACTTGAAAAGATCGATTTTGACAACAGACACATCCCACTGGGAAAACAAACATGGAGGTTTGATGATCACTTTTTCAGATCCTAATCCTTCCCAGTTTGAACTGTGCAATGACCGAAAGTCTGACATTCTTGATGTGTCTATTCAACCTGACGTGTTCTGACAGGGCATCCGGCTTTCACAAAGGCCGGGGTTTGTAGGATTCTTTTCTATTTTCACAACATAAACTTTTTAAAATGTTTAAATCCTCAAATCTCCTAAACATCAGCTTTGTAAGAGTTACTCTAGCCTCGCTCTGAGCCAAAATAAAACTTTAAACCTTCTGTTTCTTGGGTGCAGTTGGAATAATTCTTTTTTTTTTTTAATCATTCATTTTTTATTAAGAATATTACAACATATACATTCCATTGTACATATCATGTGTTTTTTCTTATTTTCCATTAACCCAACTTCCCCTTCCCTCCCTCTCCTCCTCTCCTCCTCTCCTCCCTCCCTCTCTTCCCCATAGTTCCCCAATAGTTCCTTGTAAGCAATGTCC